AACGCTATCATGAGCAAGCTGCGGTCGGAGGATTACTAAGTACATGACCATCGATTTCCATTACTTACAGGGGAGTGTCTTTTTATGGTTAGCTAGATCTTGTCACATACAAGGGACAGTCATGCAAAAGTCTTCCCGGACATCTTCCGGCCAAAAACTGTTAGTCCGATCTCATTAATATGTTATTCTGACAATTCTTATGTGGGAACAAATATCCTGTTCGCGAATATGAAATTGTGTTTGCCGAAAACATCAACTGGTCAGCATTTAAAATGCTATGCAAGACGGGGAAAACTGGAAACAGGATACAAGACGTTGAAAACATGAATATGTCACCATCACAGTAATACCAACGTGCGTTGGATATATATCATGCATATATCCTCAACTCGGGGATATATGCATGCCATCTTGAGGCCCGACGTCAAGAAGATCTCGGATGACCTCAGCTAGCTCCTTGGATTCAAGCGTTATTTGGACATACCTGGTATAGGGTATCCTCTGGAAAAACAGCAAAAAATTGAATTGTGTACTATTGATCGTGAACAATCTGAAAATTGCCTCTGATTGCTTAGCCAGCTAATTTTTGCTTTAATATTTAATTTAATTTGATTTAAAATTTAATTCAAAATATTCCTGAAGGCATTCTACGTAACTGCCGTAGATAATAGTTTGGTTCATTGGCGCGCAAGCTATGGAACCTCCGCAGACAACATTGCAGAAAGCAAGCACGCAAATACAGGTGTCACAGAGGCAGGTATAACACAAAGACATTCAAACCCTTAAACACTCAGATCTAAGATGATAATCCCATAATCAAATTCTAATAAACTCCAAATTGTCTTTACCTATACATTGCCTATGCTCACATTACGACATTCCAAAACGAAGTTTAAAGAGGAATGGAGGCGGCACGGAATGGTGTGGGGAAGCATGCAAATTTTGTATTGTCAAGTGAAAGAAATGTGTCAGCGCTGGAAAATTAGACAACATTTAAAGTCATACCTTAAGCAAGTTTATCACCGCATGCGAATGAAACTTGGCAATCACTTAATCTTAGATGTCGCGGACATTTTTTTATTAGCTGATTATCTCCGTCCTTCACTTTGCCGGCAGGCACACACATATCTGGGCACGTGTAGGAGCATTTTGCATCTCGGCACATCTGTGTCCAGGTCAGCAGCCACCTGACCTGTCCTGCGCTTCAGACCTAGGTCGGATGCTGCGCATCAGCCTCCCCGATGCCCCCTTTGTATGAAGGTGCCCCAGACGTCCTCGGTGGGCTGCAATTGGGCACACCGGGGGGGGGGGGGGGGGGGCACGCGTCATATACGGCACTTCGGCCTCTCCCAGCAACTCGTGAGCTTTCTAACATAATGAGCCCTGACTAAATATGCGCCGAAAGCGCATCGCAGTTGCAAAAAGTTATCATCCAAAAAAGGATGAGAACAACAGTTACACATTTCTTACGACGTTGTCTCTGCCTTGTTTAGTATGACTGGACGCGCAACAAACCTAGAGAGATGGCGGACGATGTCAGAAGCTTACGGCGAGCTTGTTCGCTGGCATCAGTTGTACAACTCTCAGATGATCTCCATCAGGTCCAGCACAGTAGCCAAGGCTTTTGGGCTGGTATGGACACCGTGGAAGGTGACGTGCGTTTCGCTGTCTATGACGATGTTACGTCCTTGTCAAAGTTCATATTCTCAAGTTAATGTTCAATTAAGGACTTAGGTTCAGTAGTGCTGAGGCAAAAAAGTCGCTCAATTCTGACGGGGATATTTCTAAAGCCATATGCAGTCCCGGTTCCAGGGCAAACGGTCGGGTGAAGTTTAACCGAATGTTGTTTCGTAAATGTAAAATCCCGAATACTTCCTGCAGTCATGCCTATTCGTCCCCATTGCTTTTTATCGACATGTGGAAGTGGAGAAAGGCTAAGAGGCGAAGTGCATATTGATTATATGTCTTTTTGACGCCGTGCAAATTTACGAGACGTAAGTAGATCAAAATTTTTATCAGCTGGAAGCTTACGCGTCGAAATATTTATCAGCTGAACGTTGCTATACAGAGACAGGATTTGGCGAATGGAAAGCTACCGAATTGTCAATGAACCTAACACTGTTTTGTCGAAATGTGGATCTGAGGAACGTTAATCGACGAATGGAAAATCATTGAACCGAAATTAACGTAGTGACTCTGTATTTGATATTTGGACTCTACGAACGGTAATCGATAAACGTAAATTCGTTCGAATGGCCAATACGCAATTTTTATTTTGCCGAAATGCGAATTGAATGATTGAAAGTACTGCCAAGTGATAACGCCTGCAAGGAGCAGTCAATGAATAAACGTTACGCATTGGCAGGAAGGGATTGGTCGGTAAAGCCAATTATGCTAAAGACATGGAGTAATTCGGTTTGGTTTGGTTGATTATAGGTAAAATCTAGCAGTGTCCAATACAGCCCATCCGACAGAGTTTTTTTTTAACAGTAATTCAATACCGTTTTTCGTGTTGTCGCATGCCTAATGCTGCAGCACCAGGAGGGTGGACCTGATTTAAGCTGCTTAAAGTAACATTCACCATCGTTCAGTCGCACCTCCTTAACACGGTTTGAAGAAAAATCTCCAATGCCGTCTTTCCCACGACCCTAGCTGACTTGATTTTTTGAGATGTCAAGGGGGCTGCTGAAGTCTCCACTCGTGGTGCAGTGTTGAACAATGGTCACGGGAGGAGGATTAAGGGGACTGTCTTCCACCCATTGATAATATTTTGACTCATGAAAATTCGACTTGAAAGCATTCAGCTAATTCACAATCAGCTGATGAGCATCCCGTCGGACTAGGCGCGACTAAAACACATTTTTTGTGGTAACCATTGGCTAAAGGGCAGTTGGGAGGGGTAACATTCAACCTAAAATGTTTCGTTAAATTGACAAATACTTGGGAGCGATTCGGCAAATTGGCATTCAGCAAACAAGCATTTCAATCTATGAATATTTCGTAAAATTTACATGTTCATAAAGGGTATGCCGACAAATTGCCATTCGACTTCTAGCGTTCCGCTTCAGCGACATGACAAAAAGACACGTCGACAAAACAGCGTTTGGTTAAATGCATTCTGCAGAAAGACTTCCGGCTAAATGCATTTTGGACAAAGCTCATCCCGTTGGCAGCGCCATCGATACCAATTTCACCTACATCAGAAAGGACGAGGGTAACTTCACTGCTCTGGCATGCAGTGGCAGTGACTCATAGCCATATGCATGTTCGACCATGACACCACGGAACCCGGTAGATTGATCACGTCCAACTGGAGGCGTGACTAGAGCGCGCACTACACATGCCATGAGTGCACCATAGTATTGATTTATGTCCCTCAGTTCCAAACATAGTGCATCCCATTGTCAGACGGAGAGATTATAGGGGGGGGGGGGGGGGCAGGGCATCGGTCGACCCGAGGAGAGCACACGGAACGTGTGCGGAAGGTGAGCACAATATCGAATCATCCGCAAACACCTCAGCTGCCCTGCTTCCGCCGCTCACGACGGCCGCTGCCCGCCCCCAGCCCGTGCAGTAGCGCGGGCCACGACTGCCACCCGTCGCCTCGGGCACCTTTCACTCCAAAGAGCCCCCGGCCTTCGCTGCTCGACGGCCGCGTCACGCGGCCCGGTGCCTCGCTCGCCACCCCTGCCGCACGCCTCCGTATATAAGCGGCCATCGCCGTCACTGTCGGCAGTCTGCTTCGTGCAGCCCACCAGTCACATGAACATCATCAAGGTAAGGCGTGTGGCAGAGAGCGCCTGCCACTCAGAGGTACGCTGACGCCGCTCAGGTCTGGCGGCGGCCAGCATCGCGGCACTGGCCTCAGGCACACCACTCATGTATTTACTCCGGCCTCCCAAACATTGACAACTAACTCACCACATGGGAAGGTGTGGGTGCTTTTCAATGCATTACGAATCTAGTGCAAAGCATTCATGGAACTGGTGCTTTTCAAGGCACATAAGACATCTCAATTCGTTTTATTGTCCAAGCACACTAGCAATAGCGTTACAGATACACACATGCATCCTTTGCATCGTTCATATACAGCGCGTAGCTCACGCATTCCTATCTCCTGCTCATTGCGCAATTCATATAGATCTCAACACCTACTTGAGATTCAGCTCAGTTCAAAGTTCGATGCACGCCAGCCCGTGCCAATTGCTTGGCAGCGTTGTTCCACCGGCCGTGCTCCAGCGGCCGTGCTCCAGCGGTGTTCCAGCGGTCGTGTTCCGCCAGCCCGGACGCGCTCTCGGCGGCTGGCAGCGTCACAGCCTGCGCTGCCTGTTCACAGACTTGCAGTTCACTGCTGCTGATCGGCCTCTGCCTGGCCGATGGCGGCGGTGGACGCGGCGGCGGCGGCGGGTCGCGGCGGCGGCGGCGGCGGCATCTCCCTCCGGATATGGCGCACCGCGCGGCGGCGGAGGAGGCGGCGGTGGCGGGCGGCGGCGGCGGCGTATCCTCCGGATATGGCGCACCTCGCGGCGGCGGAGGGGGCGGCGGCGGCGGCGGCGGCGGCGGCGGCGGCGGTGGCGGCATCTCTTCTGGATATGGTGCGCCCCGCGGCGGCGGCGGAGGCGGCGGCGGCAATGGCGGCGGCTATAGCGCGTCCCAGGGACTAGGTGGTGAAGTGGCCGGCTTCGGCCGCCCGAAGAGTACCAACGGGGGACAGGGCGGCTATGGAGCGCCCCAGGCTAGCGATATCATCCAGGCAGGATATGGTGCTCCCGGCAATGGCGGCGGCGGCGGAGGAGGAGGAGGACGGGGAGGATATGGCGGCGGCGGCAGCGGCGGCGGCGGCGGCGGCGGCGGAGGCAGAGGCGGCGGCAGCAACGGATACTCTGCCCCGAGCGTGCAATCCGGCTACGGCGCACCGAGCGGCGGCCGAGGAAATGGCGGCGGCGGCGGCGGCGGCGGCAGCAGCGGCGGCGGCGGCGGCAGGGGAGGTGGCGGCGGCTATGGCGGTGGTCAAGGTGGCGCCGGCGGTGGCGGGTCTAACGGTGGGTACTCTGCCCCGAGGGCCTACAGTGTGACGCAGGCTGCGCCTCGCAGACCCTCGAACGGCGGCTCATCCGCCTTCTCCACAGGAAAGGGCATCAGCGGAGGTTCCATCTCCACAAGGACGTCTCCGCGCCTCGCATTGTGAAGGGAAGCTCAAAGTCTTCGGGAGGCGGCGGCTATGGTGGATCCGGTGGTGGACAGTCGTCCGGAGGCGGCGGTTATGGAGGATCTGGCGGTGGACAGTCGTCCGGAGGCGGCGGTTATGAGGATCCGGCGGTGGGCAGTCGTCCGGAGGCGGCGGTTATGGAGGATCCGGCGGTGGACAGTCGTCCGGAGCGGCGGTTATGGAGGATCCGGCGGTGGGCAGTCGTCCGGAGGCGGCGGCTATGGAGGATCTGGCGGTGGACAGTCGTCCGGAGGCGGCGGTTATGGAGGATCCGGCGGTGGACAGTCGTCCGGAGGCGGCGGTTACGGGGGTCTAACGGTGGACAGTCGTCCGGAGCGGCGGCGGTTATGGAGGATCTGGCGGTGGACAGTCGTCCGGAGGCGGCGGTTATGGAGGATCCGGCGGTGGAAGTCGTCCGGAGGCGGCGGCTATGGAGGATCCGGCGGTGGACAGTCGTCCGGAGGCGGCGGCTATGGAGGATCCGGCGGTGGACAGTCGTCCGGAGGCGGTTGGCTATGGAGGATCCGGGGGACAGTCGTCCGGAGGCGGCGGTTATGGAGGATCCGGCGGTGGACAGTCGTCCGGAGGCGGGTGGCTATGGAGGATCGGCGGAGGACAGTCGTCCGGAGGCGGTGGCTTACGGGGGGATCCGGCGGCGGCGGTGGACAGTCATCTGGTGGCTACAGTGCCCCATCGCAGCCTTCTGGAGGTACGGTGCCCCTTCGCAGCCCTCCGGAAGCTACGGCGGCCCATCTTCTTCTGGATCGTCAGGGGGCTACAGTGCCCTGCTCAACCCTCCGGAGCTACGGCGGCCCCATCTTCTTCCTCTGGATCGTCAGGAGGCTTACAGCGCCCCTGCTCAGCCCTCTGGGGGCTATGGCGGCCCATCTTCTTCCTCTGGATCCTCAGGAGGCTACAGTGCTCCTGCTCAGCCCTCCGGAGGCTATGGTGCCCCATCCTCTTCCTCTGGATCCTCGGGAGGTTACAGTGCTCCGTCTCAGCCTTCTGGAGGCTTATGGTGCCCCATCCTCTTCCTCTGGATCGTCAGGAGGCTACAGTGCTCCTGCTCAAACACCCTCCGGAAGCTACGGCGGCCCATCTTCTTCCTCTGGATCGTCAGGAGGGCTACAGTGCTCCTGCTCAGCCCGGCTGGGGGGCCTATGGCGGCCCATCTTCTTCCCTCTGGATCGTCAGGAGGCTACCAGTGCTCCGTCTCAGCCCTCCCGGAGGCTATGGTGCCCCATCCTCTTCCTCTGGATCCTCGGGAGGTTACAGTGCTCCGTCTCAGCCTTCCGGAGGGCTATGGTGCCCCATCCTCCTCTTCTGGATCCTCGGGAGGTTTCCAGTGCTCCGTCTCAGCCTTCTGGAGGCTATGGGCGCCCCCATCCTCTTCCTCTGGATCCTCGGGAGGTTACAGCGCGCCTTCACAGCCTTCCGGCGGCTATGGCGGCCCATCGTCGTCCTCTGGGTCTTCGGGAGGATACAGCGCCCCGTCCCAGCCATCTGGGGGCTACAGTGCCCCCTCACCGCCCTCTGGAAGTTATGGTGGCCCATCCGCTTCTTCTGGTTCTTCCGGAGGTTACAGCGCTCCCGCCTGCACCATCGGGAGGCTACGGTGGTCCTTCCAATTCCGCCGGTGGTGGTGGAGGAGGTGGAGGAGGTGGAGGATATTCCTCCTCCTCCCGTCCTCAGGAGGTTACAGCGCCACAGCTCAGCCTTCTGGAGGCTACGGTTGCCCCTTCCCAGCCTTCTGGTGGGTTTATATAGTGGCTCGTCATCTTCCTCTGCTGCTGGTGGTTATACTGCCCCGTCTGCCTCTTCGGTGGGTTCAGTCCATCCAAGCCCTCTGGAGGCTATAGTTGCCCCGTCCCAGCCCTCTGGAGGGTACGGTGGTCCCTCTTCTTCCGGTGGGTCTTCCGGAGGACACAGCAGTTCGTCGCAGTCCTCGGGCGGGCACAGCGGCCCCTCCAACGCGTACATCCTCCTCCCCCCTCCGGTGGCGGGTACAGCGGATAGACCTCCGCTAGGCGTCTCTCCCACGCCAAACCGGGCCACGCCCACATGCGCCGTGTTAGGAGCGCGAGCCGTGCTTAGGTCTAGGAAACGTGAAATAGCCTGAGTCCGCATGTATTCCTCATATGAATTGATATTTATTGCTCAGTCGTTGCACACAATTATGCCGCAATAAAATTGTGTTTGTAACGTGAGTTATTTCCGAATGATTAGTTACGCCGCCACTGGCAGTTACACGAGACGGCGCATCGATCGTTTTGTTGAGTCACCCCTGCACAAATGCTTGCGAAAGGGAAAGCCCGGGTGGGCGGAGCGAAGACGTGATGGATTAACACCACCGAACAACCGAGACGCTTGACCAAGGACACCGCATCTCCGTCACGCCCCCACCCTCACTAAGATTCGCAGCCTCATTCACACTGAACGCCGCGTAAAAGTGAATGCAGTAGGTCATGGTCCGTCTCAAAGGCCAGAGAAGCAGAGCGGGCCAGCTGCGCCTGCCGTTGCTCAAGCCACTGGCACGGAGCGGCGGCTAGTCAGGCGGCAGCCGGAGGGAGTCCAAAGCGTGTTTGGAAAAATGACCAGAAATATCCAAGCGAAACCAGGAGACGACAGAATAAGGCACAGAGAGGTCCGACTGAGAGCAAAGACGCGCCATAGTTAAATTGCGAACACTGGCGAGCAATGCGGCAGGAAGAGGCTGTAGGTGATGCCACAATCAGCAGGCTGACCCACTGATACAGTTACTACTAGCGACCACTATCGAGAGAACACGTCAACAAACCCTGCGAGCTCTCGCTTCTACGAGATGCGAAGTTCGCACGTCTCCAAAGATGTAGCCCACGCACTCGTAACGAGCCACGTAATGAAATTCGCATTCAGGTGGGAAGTAGGATGGGATGGTAGCAGGCACCCACAGTGACTTAAATGATGGTGGTAGTGGTCTACGAGTCCGCCGCCTGCGTTGGTCATTTTTCGTCCGGTGCACAGTGTTGACATACCGATTACACCATTTGTATACTGCATGTTACGCTCAGTCCAGCCCAGTCGTACAGCTGGTCTCACGTTTCTACCCGCTCTGGTTATCAAGAACTGACATAAATCCTTTAAAAAACGCCCACGCACGGCGGTTCCGCGGTTTGCGCGCGGCTGCGAATGAGTCAGCACACGTTGACCCACACGTTGGCCAGCACGACTGTTTGTTTGCCAACGCCGGGATAGATCATTTCCACACCATCGCGGCGGCTGGTCGGGAGGCCCAAACCTACTTCGAGCCCGCGGTCGTCAGCTCCTTCGCAATTAAAAACGTTACCGTGCCCTGCGATAATCGAACGGGGAGAACGGTGAAACAGTGATGTTACAACGTCGCAGAAGTACGCTGCCTGGTGATGCATCCCGCTAAAAGTATTTGGACAAACATCATGGTAAGACATCTAAACAATCGTGCTGCTTGCTGCTGAAAACTGCATGGTTATGCGAATAGGCCCGCGAAAGGCGAACTGGCCGATTCGGGTCGGCCCGGCTCACTGCTCTATGGAACTTCCCGTTATTTCGCGTTAGGGCTTGCTTGGCTTACGGCCTGGCTCACAGTAAAAATAGCTAGACATGTATGATGGCGTGGCCATGGAAAAATCTTAATTTGTCTTTGCTATCTACGGACGACCATCAACGATCGTCATTACGCTGGAGAACAGACAACCAATGACAGCGATATCAATTCAAGTGAAGGCTACCCATATCACCATAGAACCCATCAAAGGCATTCGGGGGCCCAGACAGGCCACCTGAGGCCTTGGATGGGCCCAAAGGTCTTCCCCGCGGCCCCGACATATCATCCGCCAGGCTTGCTCTATACATCACAACCCCGTATAGAAATACAGAGCGTTTGCAAGGATAGCCTCGGGGTTACAGCGCTTCGCAGCCAGAAGTTGTTAAAATCATAGCCCGACTGGTGCAGTTGAGTTCATCTCGCTCCAGTCCATCGGCCACATTCTCAGGAACGGCTTGACGCGCCGCACACCGCCGTGATACGGCCGGTCGTTTCAGTGAGCTGATACTGGGCAGCTGCCAACTGAGGCCGGCCGATGAAGACGGGTACAGCAGGGCGTTGCTAAGATGCGAACCCACGCTTAAGACCCTTCCGACCACGCTGGATGGATGTCAAGGGTCAGCGTCCAGGCTAAGCAGCGTTTGCGGCGTAATCCCTGACCCCACCACCTGATCGTAAAACCCCGGATCAACGGCACACCGCTGCAGTGAAGACTTAACCTGCCGCGATGCTCGGCACGGTCCGCCCCGCCCTCTGCCGTCTCCTGATCTTTAGCGGGCCGCGGCCGCAGGCCACTTCAGTCAGGGGCGAATAGCTCGCGCCTAAAGCGATTGAACCCACCTCGCCGCGGGTGAGTGGATCTTCACTGGCTAAAGGGACGGACGTCCTGCCAAGCGAGCGCGGGTCAACGAATCAGTGTATTGACATTACGCAGCAGCATGCCGTCGGCTATCGGCCTGGCACCTGGCGGAGGGGCTTCAACAGTAATCACAACAAAACACCGTCCTGGCAGCTGTCACGGCCGTCGAGAAAGCCTGTTAGCAAACGTGACAACACAACTAATACACACGGCAGGTCGAAACAAAACGCTTTCGTCAAAAAGCAGTGTAAAATACCACACTACGTAACAACAGAGCAGTCTAGGCAAAGGCACACAACGCGGCAACTTAGTCAACGAAGGCGATGAAGCGGCCCAGTGATCGGGCCTCACTCACACATCCCGGCAGTTGGGCAATTTTGTACTCGCCACGTGTCAACCTGCCCAGACCACCGGCACAGCAGTCGGGGTCCGTCGAGTCCGCTCCCGGCCGCATCTGCTGGGGGTGGCGGACACCGCTCTGAAGCCGAGATCGCGAGCCTGGGCGGATCACACGCTCACGGGCTCACAGGCTCACAGGCACACAGACTTCCGAGCTCGCGGGCTCCTGAGCTCGCAGGCTCCCGAGCTCGCGGGCTCCCGAGCTCGCAGGCTCCCGAGCTCGCGGGCCCCCGGGCTCCCGAGCTCACAGGCTCCCGAGCTCGCGGGCTCCCGAGCTCGCGGGCTCCCGAGCTCGTGGGCTCCCGAGCTCGCAGGTTCCAGAGCTCGCAGGCTCCTGCTCTCGCAGGCCCACGGGCTCCAGTCGTGACCACGGCTCTGGGCCGCCCTCATCACAGTCCTCTGGCACCAGTTTGGCGCTCCCCGGCACCAGTTCCTCTGCCATGGCTGCTGTGCGAGGGCCGGCCACATCCGCCGCGCGCTCGCCCGTCAGAGGTCGGCCGTCACCAGGTACGCCTGGGGCGGCAACCAGCTTCTGCTGACGCGCGCAGGCGTCCAGCAGGTCGGCCGGGCGAACATCAGCTCAGGGTTGGCCGACAGCGCCTGAGGAAGCGACGCAGCCGAGCTTAGCCCTCCCCGGCTGCCGCAGCACACGTACGCAGGCGCACGCTCATACACTCAACTACAGATGAAATACGGCCGGCGTCGCTGAACACGCTAGGCGTATCTAACAAACACACACCAAGTAATATGTACATCCCCTAAGCCTACGTACTCAAGGCTGAAGGGCGAAGCAATAAAATAAAAGTAACTGGCTGCAACCTATGTGCGCATCCTGCTGACAATATGTGTTAAAACGCCCAAACGGCACCCAGGCGGCAGACTGCTGCCATAAGGTGTATGCGTGTGTGCATGAATATGCACTTGTGGTTGCGTAAATATCCATACTATAGGTTCTGCGTTACGTGGTATATGGAGAGTATTCATCCATGTGCCTATAACGGCCAATTTGCTCGCTGCGGTGTTTGCTTTAGCCCATGGGGTTCGTCATTCACCAGCGCAAGTGGGACTCGATGATAATGACTGAGACGTCACAAATGGCACTCGATGATAATGACTGAGACGTCACAAATGCAACTGTCTGCGCCGAACCAGTCGCAGTATTTGATAGGGATTTGGCTACCGGTGCGAGCATCTCACGGTACAAAAAAAATACGGGAACTTGCCCGGCGTCATATTCATCCTGGGTGATCTTCCCAGTTCCTTGCACTGAAAGGCATGGACGCAACCATGTGTCATTTAACTGTTAAATTTAATCTGAATCTATTGTAACTGCAAATAAATAATGAGTCTTACGCCCCTTGTATGCGTTACTTTTCAAATGTATGATGTTCTTGATTGATTATGATATGTAAGAAAACTGATACAGACTTGTGAAGCAAAAAAAGGAGGTACTCATGCAGTTTGAAAGCACCTGAAGTGGTCATTAATTAACTAGTTACAAATACTAAAAATCGATCAAGCATGGTGTGATTGTAAGACATGTAGTTGCGCAAGTCTCTTTGTGTCACAGATAACCCTTTCCGCACGTGCTCCTTACAAACATCGCTCCTTTGTCGCTCGGCTGGTGTTTCAGTCACCCGTTGGGAAAATGTTCTCATCTCGTCCTACGATGCATGGATATATCCTTTCTCCGTTCATGGAATGCGTTCAGAGGAAAGGTGGCCTCGAGCACACGGGCATAAAACGACCCGGCTCGTCGGCACGAATCAGCCCGCGCAGTCCTCCAAGTGCTCCCTCACAGTAACGGCGGTGGTGCGATTGAACGCAATTTGAGACGCCAATACCCAGTGTACATGTCGGAATGTGCGCGGTTAATGCGCAAGGCAGCAGCTGTCACACCTCGCCCGCAAGGCGTCCGGTCGCGGCGTGGCGGCCCTGCCCTAGGTCAGACGTCCGCCGCCTCGGACGTACGCGAGCCGTGGCGGCTGGTCAGAGGTCCGCCGGCTTACCTCGTCGAAGTTGCCGTCCCACGCGTCCGACGTTATCACATAGTTGATGCCGTCGCCGAAGTACTGCTCCAGCTTCCTGCAGTGAAGGACAAACATATGTCAACGGGAAGGAGTGGTACCAATGTCTGGCCACGCCCAAGCCATTTGGCCTGGACAAAGGTTTGGCAAGGCCGGGCCGTAGCGAGTAAGGGAGCCAGACGTGCTCGAGTCGCCTCTACCGATGAGAAGGTCAGCATCGAAATAAGCAGCATGAATGGCTACAGGCTATTTTTGCAACTCGCATGTCATCGTTTTCGCGGTGGACCTTGTCGCGTCTCATGACCGCACCGGCTGGCCTATTTCCAGAATTAGCTCTACCACAACCCAAGTTCCCGACGAGCGACAGTGATTTCGTGGCATGACGCTGCCGCTGGTTCGCTCTCACGCTGCATGACTGAGCGGGCGGCGGGGCCCGTGCGCCAGCTCAGCGGCCCGTACTGCTCACCCGCCAAATGCCCGTGATGTAGCGGCCCGCCGGCGCCGCGTCTCCGTCGACATGGTCTGCCCGTACAGCAGGAACGTCTTGCCACGCAGGAAGTCGGGCAGCTCGGGCACGCGCAGCCCGGTCGTGTCGGGCCGCCGCTCGGCCGGCTCGTTCCTCGTCCGTGTCCGCCTCGTACGCGGCGTCCGATTTCCTCGGCGACGGCCGCCGGCCTGGTCGGCGAGCGGCGCCGCTTGGCTGGGACGGGCGGCGGCGGTGGCCGGCGACGGGGAGCGTCCGCTGTCGCCGCACGGCCGCCGGCGGACGTGGACGGCAAGGGGCTCCCAGCGGCAGCGACGGGCAACGTGCCTTCTCTCGGTGCCGGACACTGGCGGACTCGCCGACGTCCGGGCCTGGCCTCGGAGACCGCCGCCGGCTTGCAGGAGGTCTGAGCCCTGCGAAGGTATCGCACCAGCAGATGGAAAGCATATAATACATGTAACCAGACGTCAGGCCGCAGCATTGGTCAGCAGACCCCGTTTGGTTGGTCATTTGGGCTTGAGGGCTAATGGCTTGGGCTTGAGGACTAGCCCGTTACCCGACATCAGTGCCGCAGACCACAATTCACAGCTGATTATCTGGCATGCCTCACATGTCCCCCATGTCACAAGCCGACTCGGCTGGTGGCCGGCGGCACAAGGCGCGCTTACATCCTGATCTCGTCGTCCGTGTCCATATCGTCGGTGCTGCTGCCGTACTCGTCGCCGTTCGCTGGCGGCGGGCTGGGCGCGGTGGCTGCAGGGCAGGAGGTCGCGTCACACCGGCCCGATCCCGACCCACGACGCCAGACGCCACCCCACCGCCATCAGATCATCTAGTCGTAAGACGTGTCATCCAACAGAACACGGCCGCGTGGTACCTCGTCAGAGCGCGGGAACACACACGCGAGCCTGCGGCCGGGTCAACCAGTCGGCGTGGTACGACCCCGACCCAGCGCGCGCTCGGGTCGACAGACTCGGCCAGAGACAGAGACAGGGTCGACAGGCTCCGCCGGCTCTCGGCCTCAGTGCGGGCGGCGTGCAGGTCCCGTGAGAGGGGCGCCTCGCCTAACCTGGCCCGGCAGCCGGCTCTCGGCCGCAGGACGGCGGCGTGCAGGTCCCGTGCGAGGGGCGCCTCGCCTCACCTCGGCCCGGCAGCCGGCTCTCGCCTCAGGAACGGCCGGCGTGCAGGTCCCGAGGAGGGGCGCTTCGCCTCACCGGCCCGGCAGCCGGCTCTCGGTCGCAATAGGGCGGCGTGCGGGTACGAGGAGGGGGCCGCCTTGCTCACCTCGCCGGCAGCCGGCTCTCGGCATCAAGTACGGCCGGCGTGGGGTTGCCGTGAAGGGGCGCCCCGCTCACCTGGCCGGCAGCCGGCTCTCGGCCGCAGGACGGCCGGCGTGCGGGTCCCGAGGAGGGGGCCGCCTCACCTCCCTCGGCCGCAGCGGCTCTCGGCCGCAGGACGGCCGGCGTGCGGGTCCCATGGAGGGGCGCCTCGCTCACCTGGCCGCGGCCGGCGAGGACGCACCTCAGCCCACACCTCGTCTTCGCTGTCCGGCGCACGGCCGTCGGCTGGCTCCAGCGCGTTGCCGCCGCCACGAGAGCCGCCGCTTCTGGGCGGCGCACGCCATCAGCCACGAGCCGAGCACGATCTTGCCGCGGCCGCGCACTGCACGTGCTTGGGCGTGTTCCGGAACGCGCAGGCTGGCGGCGGCGTCACGTGATGTTAGAGCACTCGCGAGC